AATGAATTCGAAATTCATAGTTCAGAAAGAATCTGTCGAGTAATCCCAATCGTAGTTGCCCTAAAGTCCGAAAGGAAAATAATCCGTTATGTTATTATAGTATGCCATAATTAAGAATACCAAATACAAGTCGCCACGTTTTAACTACATAACAGTTGAGTCACATAATTTCGCTAATGTTACCAGCTTACCTTGAACTGAAGTCTGAACTTGAACTACATTGCGTAATGGGACATCCTGAATTTAATTCGATATTTTTAATTTATTTTTCTATTTAACAGCATAGGGAGGTTTTTGATATAATTTTATTTAATTCTAGATGTAAATATGTTTCAAAAGACCATATTAATAACTTCGTGCCTAGTTATTAGAAGAATTTTCACAATAGATATTTAGTTAACTAGAATATTTTTTTTGGAAATATCTAAGTTTTCAAATGAACATATTATTAGGTACCTACCTACTGAAAAATCATTCATATGAGATTGGGAATAATGTATTCATTTATTATCGGTCTATTCTACGTCTTCTGATTCCCGGTCTCCAGCAATCTCTGTCAATCGAGGCATCTTCCTCCAATCCTCTGTCTCTCATTTTTCATCCACTCCAGCTTCTTCTTGGTCTCCTGCGTGTCTTCTCCTCCCTGCCTTGCATTCAATGATTTGCTTGGGTATTCACGTATCCGCCACTCTTTGTAACTACATATTATCCGAACCAAATAGGTTGTTTGTCTTTAGCAGTATCTACCATTGCGTGTCTTCACATGAAAGTTTCAATGTACCTTTTGGAAAGGTTTGTGCAGATATTTTAACTGAGAGAGCTTACCCAGTAAAGGGTTATTTTAGCTATTGGGTTTAACTTGTTCCTATAGATTGTAAGACCGCAGATGACCGTAAACTTGAAGTTATATTTGCTACTCATAGAATACGATTTAGGTTTACTTCGGATAATCAACCATTAAACAACCAAAAATTTAGAGATTTTGCTCACTTGGGACATTTCTATATCATTTAGCCCCAGAGCTTCTTCTTCTTTAGCCTGTGTTCGACCACTCTTGGACATAGGCCTCTTCTAAAGATTTCCATGTCGATCTATCTTGGGCGGTCTTCATCCAATTCTGCCCCGCATGCCGATGGATGTCGTCTCTTCATCTCGCCTGCGGACGTCCTATACTTCTTTTTGTTTCTCTTGGTCTCCATTGCATTAGGGTTCTCGTCCATTTGGAGTTATTTTAGGCCAGGTGCTACTTGAGCTTCGCCACCCTTTCCACGACGTCGCAAACTCCCGTCCTCCGCCTAATATCTGCGTTTCGGATCCTGTCTCGCAGACTTATTCTCAGCATTGCCCGCTCTATTGCTCTTTGGCAGACTCGAAGACGGTTGGCGTTGTTTATTGTAAGGGTGGCTGTTTCGAGTCCGTATGTCGCCACAGGCAAGATGCAGGTATCGTAGACCTTTCTTTTAAAGTTCACTGGGATTTTTGGTTGACGAAGTATATAGCTAAGCTTCCCGAATGCTGCCCAGCTCAGGCCGATTCGTCCGGTAATCTCTGCGGTTTGATTACTTTTTCCGATTTTGATATTATGTCCCAGATATATAATATATTCTTCGACTACCTCACTGATCTCAAAAATAAATGGATAAAGAAAGAATGGAAGCGTTCTGCAAATTTACGAGGTCATAATGTAAACAACTAAGACAGCTGTGAGTGTGCGCAGTAGATACATGTACTGTGCGTACGCAAAATATAGCGAATGAAAATGAGGATATTTCAAAATTTAGAACAGTTGTTCGAAAGATAAGACCTGCGCAGGCGTTAGGCTGTTCGGTTGCACAACTGTTCGCAAAATATTGACCCCAAATTTTCGCACAAGTTTAGACAATCAAGCCGTACGATTGTTTATCCATTTATTTTTGAGATCAGTGGACTAGTTCCAGAGTATGGTTCTCGATGGTGACTCTCATGTTAGATTTACTCGTGATTTTGGTCTTCTGTAGGTTCATTTTAAGACCAACGGCTTCGGAGACTACTCTGAGTTCTTGGAGCATCCTCGTAAGTTCGGCCGGATCGCTGCTAAAGAAGACATTGCAGTAACCCATTCTTCTTCAGTTTTTACGTGCATGGTGGCATGTTCGTAGATATATCGCTTGATGTTCGAGTATCTGTAATCCATGCGAGCGTTATTCATCGCCTCCAGCACCGCCCAGGTTTCGATTGAATCGAAAGCCTTCTGTTAGTCGACGAAGGCCATGTGCAGTGGGATGTTGTATTACGTGCATTTTTCCACTAACGTGCGTACCGCTTGTATATGATCAGTCTTGCTGTACCTCTTTCTGAATCCCGCCTGTTCGACTGGCTGGTAAAAGTCGAATTTATGGCTCAGGCGGTTCGTTATTGTTTTAGTTAGTAGTTTGTAGAGGATGGATAGCAGACTGATGGGCCTGAAATTCTCTAGATTTGTGCAGTCGCCTTTCTTGAATAATAGGATAACTTCTGCGTTCTTCCAAGAGTCCGGGATTTTCTCTTCTTCTAGACATTTATTTAGTAAGGTCAGGAGTGCTATTATGAGTGTCTCTCCTCCGGCCTTCAACATCTCACTGGTGATCTGTTCTTCTCCCGAGGCTTTGCAAATCTTCAGATTTTCTAGCGCTGCCTCTAGTTCTCCTGATCCTATGCTAAGGACTGGCTGATGAATTTGACCTTCTTGACCTGGGTATGCCACCAATGAGCTGTAGAGTCGTCGATAGAAATTCTTAATAATTTCTGCGATCTTTCCTCTTTCATTCGCAATTACTCCTTGATCGTTTTTCATCTTGTGGATAATCATTTCGCCTTTAGATCTCTTGGAACGGAGAACTCTCATGTTGGCGTTGTTCTCTATGGCTTCCTCGACCATTCTCGTATTATAAGCTCTCTGATTTTTTATGATGGCCTTCTTCACGATCTTATTCAGGTCTCCATACCTTGATGAGTTTTTGTCAGTATTCCCCTGTTATTTCATGAGTTGTTCTGTTCCTAAACTGAATTTCGGATATTTCTTACTTTGGAGAAAACATACTTTCCGCAATGCGTTTCTAATACTAGAGATGATCTTCGTTGCGAGTGCGTTCAGTTCCATGTTTCGCATCTCTTCAATTGGGTGTAGCTTATTGTCAATTTGCCTTTGAATTCTTCCTCCCTCTCTCGCAGTTCACCTGTGTTTGGCCGTATCTTTCTTTATACTAAAGCTTTTCTCTGGTGTCGAGTATTGACGTGAATCCTGGCTCTTGCCAATCTGTGATCGCTGCCTGTGTCAAAGCGGTTTAGTACTGTACTGTAATCGGGGCTCCCCCACGTCCATTTCCTTCTCGGGTCCTTTTTGTGGAAGGTATTCATGCAGTAGGAGCCTCTCCTTCTTGAGGAAGTCGATCATGGTTTGTCCCCTTTGGTTCCTAGCTGGCAGCCCGAATTTATCGATTAAGAGAGGATCCGTCGGTACCCTGGCTCCAACCTTCGCGTTAAAATCGCCGATTATCAGACAGATGTTGGTCTTTTCTGCGTTCTTTGCAGTTGCTAGGTCTTCGTAGAATGTTTCAATTTTTTCGTCTGAGGAGGCGGAGGTGGGTGCATTTGCTTGGATGATTTGGATACTAAATATGGCGTTGATCCTGATTATTACATAAATTACTCTGTCTGATACGGCTATTGTCTTTGTAACCGGGTGTTTCTTCTTCTTGTGAACCAGTACAGCAACGCTCCTAATGTGTGAGTTTGTGTCCTAGTTCTTTTGGAATAGTAAATGTCCAGATTTGAGGATGGTGACTCCTTCGCCGCTCAGTCTTGTTTCACTGATTCTTATGACATCCCACTAGGTGGACATTTTATTATGATAAGAGCGCTCATAGAAGACCACCCTTTTTAAAAGGGCAAAATGTCATTATGATAAAAAAGGACAATCAATGGATACCAGGTATTGTTATAAAAAAGTATGAGACACCTAGATCATATTATTATTTTGTAAAGGAAAACGCAGAAAAAGTAATTAGAAGAAACTCTTCGTTTTTAAGAACGAATCTAAATGATGTAGTGTTAAGGAGACAAATATAGTTTGATCCTAATGAATGAGCGGTTTCCAAATCAAATGAACAAGCATCAAAAAGTGACCTGAGTGCAGCAACAAGTGAAACTTGCAACTACAACTTTAAATCCGGCGAGTAGCGAAAGTAGTGTTAAAGTTAAAACTTGATCTGGGCGTACAGTAATAGAACCTATAAGAATATATTGGCCTCATGATTTTACTCTTTTTGTAGTTAGTACTGGAGAGCTAAAGAGGGGAGATATGACATAAAACATAAGCATCGATTGTTGTTATGAGTAGGTAATCATCTTTATATTTGATACTTATGTCACGTACTAGATGTGATTGGGTGGATCATAACTCAGTAAATTCATTTAACTTTTGTCATATCCTAGGTTATGACAGTTGCCATATGGATGCGACACGCATTGTGAAGAAGCACATTATTGAACCTGTTCAATAAAACAATAACCGCTTTCTTTATTGTGAAAATTCTTCATTAAGAAACATAACAACCACTTGGACTTTTCCGAAAATATAGGTACTTCCCGTCACCACATTAACTTCATAATGAAAATCTTACCATACATATAACATAATATGAGGCCTTGAAAAATAAGTTTTTGGAGGAGTTAAAGTTTTTCACCAAACTTGTGAGTGTACATTAAAATTTTTGAAATTATAACCGAAAAAAAAAAAAAAAATGTACTGTGAGTCGCTTTTATATAGGTATTATCAATTATTAATTTCTCGAAAATTGCGGCAGAAATTGCACCGTGCGTCGTTTTACTCTGACGTGATCCTAGGAAACTGAAATAATACCTATATCTACTCATAAACTGAGACATATTTCAGTATTTTGCTCCCTCTCACAAATAAAGGAATTAATCTACGTCATTGGTATAAGCTTGTATTATTTTTTGTTCTTGAACCACTTTTATAGGTAAAATGTCCGCTATACGTAGTGCATGTAATGAGTAAACAGGCAGCACAAGTGCTGAATTTGGCACGCGAAAATGGCAACCAAGTGTATGGTGAAGCGTTGGTAGCTGGTCTTGCCACCGACGGTAACCAATGCAAGCACCAATGTTTCCAACACGCTGCTGGTCACGTGCTCAGTCCACCTCTTAGATCTGATCCTACCACTCCTTTAGCTTTAATGAACTTTATGGCACAGTAAGTTTCTTTGCACCTAGTGAATGGTATTCAGGGCATTAAAAAATCTTCAATGCATATTTCATTTCAATTCTACTACACATTATCTACAGTGCGGGTCTATGTCATCCCCACTCTCTTCCCATTTTGGAAGGAAATAATTTTTTTCATGCCTCTTACCGCATTCTAAAGATTTTTGGCCGTTTCGCTTTTTGTGAAGTTCGTCACTCGTATGTGATTGGCCGATGTGCATGTCATTATTTCTGGGGGAAAAAACTTAAACACGTTTTTTTTTTTTACTTCGACAACTGACATGTGTGTTTCTTTTTTAAATTAACTCAAGGACGACTTTCACTACCCACTCAATACTGAATGTTTCTTACAATGTATGGTTTACTTCACCACAAAACCTGAGCAGATAACACAGGAACCAACAAAAACAGCATAGATTAAAACCGCTTTGTTCCAACCCAGCAGGAAACCGTAATATTACCATCAGGATACTGCGCAAAACCTAAAATTTTTGCGTAGAAACCGAAATTCGTATACAGAGTGGTTCAGAAACCGTTCTGGGACGGTTTTTTCACGGGTTGGAACAAATCTAATGTCTACGCCAACGTTTTTGCTCTTGCTTTTTTCCTCTATTTTGGCCGGAATTCCATAAGGGTTTATTGCTTTTTGCGGCTGACGTCACTCATCTCTTCTGATTAGGCACTGCAAAATGCACAAACTGGCAACGTAAATGTTGATTTGGCTATAATCTCAAAAAATCAAGTAAGAAGTAAAAGCACATTTTCATCTACCTATTTTCTTGTTGTTCGATCGAGTTTTGTGGTGAAATATTGCGTTGTGGAAAAATTTCATTATTGAGGAGTGGCAGTCGTTCTGATATGAATAAAAGAATAAAATCATTATGTGTCACTTGTCAGTTTGTCGAAATATGGAAAAGATTCCATTTGATAGCCTGCTTGCCCCAAAAATATTGACATTTAATCCGCCGAATCCAACACGAGTAATGCTTCAATTCTCACTTGTGCGAAATTCGCTCTTTTTTGACATTGCTTCGACAATTTGACGTTTGATACACGCATAAAACGTCAAATTGTCGAAGCAATGTCAAAAAAACAAGGGAATTTCGCGCAAAAAGAGCGAATTTCGCGCAAAAAGAGCGAATTTCGCGCAAGTGAGAATGAAGCTTAAGTCAGCCGCAAAAAACAGAAAAGCTGATATGAAATTTGTTCAATTCTATTGACCTTATTTTTTCATGCCCTGTATATTAACTTTTTTGTATATAATTGATTTTCATTTCACGTTTGCTTTTTTTTTTCAAGATGTTTCCTATTTACCATATATATTCGTTACCAGTACCTAATGCATGTTGTGTATTTCTGTTTTGATGAAATGTAAATGCTTTAGGGCACTTTAGGCGAATCTCTTATTTGGGAATATAATCAAATTTCTGAAAACAAACTATCCACGCAGGTGAACTTACCAATCTATCTGGTTCGGGTATCGTCAGATTCGTCTGCCAACAAGATAGCTGAATGTCAATTAGCTGGTCAAATGATATTTGGGGAGGTAGAGGCCTCTGCCATTGGGGTTGTGGGTAATCCTCGTGATCCCAAACTGATCACATCACCACCCATAAGATCTAACCCGGGTATTTCTACTCAGCTTTTGCAGTTGTTGTCATCGTAAGTGTGTTTACTAACTTGCTAATTTAATTTGAAAAATTCAAAAATGGATAAAAGTATAAACATTTTATTTTTATTTCAATCAAAGGTCCATTTTTGAACTATCTTTCATTACAATTTTGCAAAAAAAGGCTTTTAACAATGGTTTGTTGGAATTGTTACTGACGTTATTTGTTTATATTTTATAAGAAACCCTAAGTATTTATTCACTTATTTAGGGACGTACTTCAAGTAGTTGGAAGTGATAATTGCACCTTTAACAAAGCCCAAAAGGAGCTAGGAAAAGATAATTTCACAAAAATTCCAAATGGTGTTAACGGAGTTGAAGACAGAATGTCCGTAGTGTGGGAGAAAGGAGTTCACACAGGTATTATTGATCCATGCAGGTTTGTAGCCATAACCAGCACAAATGCTGCGAAGATATTCAATTTATATCCAAGAAAAGGCTATATCGGAGTAGGCTCAGATGCTGATATTGTTGTTTGGAATCCCAATGCTACAAGAACAATTTCTGCGAAAACCCATCATCAAGCAGTGGACTTCAACATTTTCGAGGTTAGTAATTTCACTTAAAATATCTTTTTTTCTGTGAGTTTACGTTTCGCTTTTTATGTATTATTTACAATAACGCGCCTTATTTCGATGAGGTACCTATATATAATACTTATGTGATGATTTATTTCAATCTTGCCTACGTTTCTTAGCGAGTTGCTCAGCCTTATTCATGACATCATTCATCCTTGGATATTTTTCAATTTTCAATCTTGTATATTGAAATATATTCAGGAATCAGGATGCGCCCTTGCTACAGGAATCCAATATTGATAGTCTGTCAGATTTTGGAAGCAAATAAATCTGACAACGAATATCTAGGGGTTTTTAAATTCATCCTGTAAAAACTAAATTTTTCTAACGTAGGTATTCTAACGCATTTTGTTTGTTGGAATTATATAAAGGATTTTACCTCAATAGACAAGTAACAATTCAAAAACTTAGTTGAATGGATTCGTGTTTCGAAACTACGTATTTTACCTAAAAAGACCCTTCATATAAAACAAAAAACAATGTGACACCCTTTAGGGGACCCATTTAACTTGATCTATAAGCACACAAATGGTGTTGTAAGTAAGTTTGGTGATTTCAGTAACCAAAAGAGATATAGGGTCGGTTAAGTGGGCGCAGAGCTTCGAATTCTCTTGCTCACAAAATTACCATATCAATTTCATCGCCATGCGGGACTATCCAGGACCCTAGTCGCCATTATCGATTCGATATTTACCTATGTTTGTCTCGAGGACATCTTTGTAAATCGTCCCTGTGATGGTTGTCAGATACCTTCTTCAAGAGTCACCCAAATGCTGCACAAATGCACTTTAGTAGATGTTAAAATTCTGCGACGACATTTGTATTTGCCTGGAGGTGTCCAAGGTATGGGAAGTATTTAAGAGCTGTTTCATTAATAATCACGGCTGGACCTGGTGCATTAGTATTTGGGGCAGTACTGTATATATAGGATTTTTGTCTGGTCGTCTAGTCCAAATGTGAAGATCTAGGCTAATGCTCCCGTATGCTAGTTTAAATGAATTAGGAGCTTAGCTAGTCTTCCTCTATGTTTGTCAATATAGCGTAAATCCTGGCAAGAATATTTCCAGCTGTTAACAGTAATGCATCTGTATCTCTTTTGGCTACCGAAATCCCCAAATACATATACTCACGAAAACCCTGTGTATCCAGAAGGTCATAGATTAAGTTCAATGGATCGCCTATAAGGGTGGCATATTGTTTTTTGTTTAATAGGAAGAGCATTTGTAGATAAAATACCTAGTTTCGATATTCGTCGGTAATTTCCTTAATGTGGTTGTCCGGCTTTTTTTGCTGCATATTTTGGTAATAAACCTGTGTTCGATCAACAAATGAACGCCTATTTCAAAGGGCTCAGCAGAGACTTGATTTTACCCAGCTTCTTCTGAAGCAGAAAACGTTAGTATGTTGATCGCTTTTCCAACCTCTTGATGGAAAGAAACGTCACAGATGTTTTTCGAGGAACTTTGCTGAAGACGTTATTCTCCAAGTAGGTAATATAAAAACACACACACACACACACACATACTTACGAAATTTCTATTTGCAAACATAGAGACGAAAGTCCGTATAAAGATCGAGGAAATGTGATATATACGTTGGATAAAATGTAAGAATTGAATGAGGGGGGGCTGTGTATACGTACGTAAACCGCAAATAAGTACCTAGTATTATTATATTAACATTCCTGCTTCAATTTTGAGATTTTTGCCAGTCGGTAATGACCCAGTACAGCAGCGCATACCCATTTGTTTTAAATCATATACAGTGTGTCCAAGATAAGGATGGGATAGCATAAGGATCTGGAGAACGGTTGGAGTTACAAGTTCCCTAACGGGTATCTGTTGAGATGCATCTGTGATTTTTTCGACATTCCGTCTTTCCTATAACGGAAGATTTTTCACTACCACCGGCAATGATCAATCTATTTTTCTTGGTAGTTTCCTTCTATATCTTACAAGTTCTTTCTATTTGCTGCTCCAATTTGATTTAGTCTCCTATATACAGGGTGTTCCGAAACTATTGGGCCAAAAATTAAGGGATGATAGATCGCTCCAAAATAAACGTTTTTTACTTATAAACACATAGGCGCATGCGCTTTGGTTATGTGATAATCGAACATTACAGGTCGCGCTGTGGTAGCCACCTTACACACGGAGAAACGTGTTTGAAGCAGAAACTGTGTTATTAAATGATGCAAAACTCAAGGAATGCTTGCAGTATTTACTAAAAACAATGATTCGCAGCAAAAAATGCTCAAAGCTATACGACCACCCAACTCCATCCGTGCGTGACAGCACCGTAGCATAGCCTCCTGAACACGTTAAAAAATTCATGGTGTTTTGAGAATTTCAGCAGTTGCTGCAACAATCCTTCCTACTAACAGTACTAACTTCCTCTAGCTGTTTCAACTGGAGTGTCGTAAACAAGAGCTTTCATATGACCCCATGAAAAAAGTCGCATTCCGTCAGGTCTGGTGAACGTGGAGTCCATGCCCCCTTAACAATCAGTCTTTCCAGGTGTTTCGTTGAGATGTTCTCTTAAGGCTAACAAGTAATGTGGTCTGTCGTGTTGGTACCCTATGTTTTATCTGGCATAGGAGGAAACAGTTTCGGGAAGGGTTTCCTGCAGAAATCTACTCGATATTCCTGCTACAACGCTGTTACACATGCATTGAGGCGGGTGGTCGTAGTTTTGGGCATCTTTTGATGCGAATAATTATTTAAATAAATACTGCAAGCATTCTTTGGGTTCTGTATTATTTAATAACACAGGTTCTGCTTATTCAAGCACGTTTCTCCGTGTGCAAGGTGGCTACCACAGTGCGGACTGTAATGTGCTATTATCACCTAACCAAAGCGCATGCGCCTTTAGGTTTATAAGTAAAAAACATTTATTTTGGCGAGATCTATCATTCCTTAATTTTTGGCACAATAGTTTCGGAACACCCTGTATAATGTTATAGCATTAGTGAGAATAATATGGGCGATCAACATCCATACTGTCACGTCTCTGGCGTGCGGATCTTGGGTCCATTTATTCAAAAAATAAATTCCAATTAACACAACAATAATTTATTCAAAACGTTACTATATATAACACTCTGACACTAATTAACTCAATCAACTTAACTCTTATAATATTCACTATCTAAATCGTATAACAGCCAATCTTGAAAACTAAAAGCTACTAATTAATTCCGGCCTTTATATATCCGTAACCCATTACTGTTAAATCCAGAATAATGCAATAGTCTTTTTCCCGAATAAGGCTGTACGTTCTAGAATTCAGCTATGCGATTCTGTGCTCCCTAGCGGAGGCGCCAGATATCCGTCACACTGCCGTCCTTTGTTGTCGCCTAGCTTCTTCTTGTTGTCGCTTAGCTACTTCTTTTTGTCGCCTAGCCTCTTCGTCTTGTTTTTCTTGTTGTCGTTTGGCCTTTTGAAGTTCCAACCTTTTGCGCAAAAGTTCTTCAATGTTTTGCTCTTCCATTTTTGCTTTTTGTCTCATAACAGGCATTGCATGTACAGAGTGTTCTGGAATTTCCCTCAAATTCTCTTCAAATACCGTTCCTGGTCTTTGATTGAAGTTCCAAACACTTCGGTGAAGTCACAAATTGAATAATAGCTTTATTCTCGAATAGAATGTTCTAGAATTTTTTTGAAATGTCTTTCTGAATGTCAATTGATATGGCAAACACGTCGGTGAAGTCGATATCTCCCTTGGTTTTTAAATAGAATATTCTAGAATTTTTCAGAAATTCCTCGAGATTCTTTTTCTGGATGACGATTGATGTATCAAATAAGTCGGCGTAATCAGAAATGCGATATTTCCCTTATTTTCTAGAACTCACTTGAAATTGCACTATCGCAGTCAAAATCGGGTATACAGTCACTTCCGGGGTAATTCACACCATCTATTAAGTATCTTTTTGTGATTGTCACTGCTTACACTGACTAATTGTCTTAGTGTTAACTTAGTATCCACACTACTCTGCAATCGGATTTCACTTTGAAGTACTCGAATTATATTCCACTTCTGACACCAATGTCACGTCTCTGGCGTGTGTGACAGAAATCTTGGGTCCGATATTCAAAAATCAAAGTCCAATTAATAATTTATTCAACGTTACTATAAAGGGTCATTTACATCCACTTAACTTAACCTACGGAAAAATTTTTAAAAAAGAAAAGTTGAAGAATATTTTCCTACTTATGCAGTGAGCACGTAAAGGTTGGAATAAAATCTATAAAATATACAGAGTGGATATTTTTCAAAAAACCTCGGACACGTCAATTTTTTATTTATTGGCCGTTTTTTTGATGATAATACCATAGATACAGGGTGACCCAAAAACAAGTTATGACAGCTAACTTTATTTTTTTAAATGAAAACATCAATTTTTTATCTCAGTTTTAAATTCTACGTCAAATTCTAAACATATTTCATGCATCATGTCCTATACCTATCTTCAATTGTTTCGGAAATATTGACAGTTGAAAATTGAATTTTTTGCAACTTTGACAGGCTGTAAAACCTAAACGGTTGATTTTAGAGGAAAACGGATTTTACATTCCTATTTTAGATTTTCATTTGACACCAATTTTAAGTTTAACCGAAGATTAATAATTTAGGCGGAATTTTTAATCATGGATTAAATTCAAGATTGGTGTTTGAGAGCAAAGCCGATCACACATTCTTGCCTTAGTTTTCCATAAACTATCATTTGACACCAACTTTGAATTTAATCCATGGTAAAAGATTTTGGGCTAAATTTAATCTCCGGTTAAATTCAAAGTTGGTGCCAAATGATAGTTTTTGGAAAACTAAGACAAAAATGTATAATCGGTTTTGCTCTAAAATTAACCCTTTAGGTTCTACATAGGGCTACCATCCGTCCGGATTTCCCCGGATTTGTCCTAGTTTTAAAGGCGCCCGGGGACGTCCGGAGGAATTTTTTGGAGTTATCCGTGTTTTACGCTTTACGGCATCTTGAAAAAAATCACGAATAATTCCGCGAAATTGAAAAGAATTATGGAAATTTTTAACCCGCGTGTGCGCGACTCAAGTTTCACGTTCACATGTCGTTAGTCATGTTTGGAGCTCGGTGAAAGCTATAAAAAACCCCAAAAAATGATTTTCCTGTCAAAATAATGAATGGTTGAATGAAAATCTTCTGCCTCCGGCGACGCCTAAGGTGGGCTACGCTTTAGTGGTGTCCGCGTTTGAGAGGTTAGAATCCGGGGTTTTTGTTGAATCAACATAAATTAGAAATTTCAACATAAATTTTAATTTAATCTGAAATTTCTACATCATTATAAAATCCACAATTTATTAGGAAATAAGGCAAGGTAATTAAACCCATCGCAAACCTTGCCCAAAGTTACTAAAAAACCACGAATCGATGTTCACAGGTTTTTCACCTTAATTTCCGTTATGATACCGCGTAGCGCCAGTGTTTTAGATACAAAGTCAACACACCTTTAATTGTTATTAAGTTATGAAAAATATTGTAATTAATTATTATTAGTTATGATAAATATTGTTAGGTTCAAATTGAAATATTTAATATAAATAAGAATCAATTTGAATAATAAAGCCAGTATCAAACAATAATAGTTTCTACTCATTTAATTACACAAAGTAGCCATTTGTGATAATTATTCCCAAAGTTCTTCCCTAAGGGCTTTGTAGTCGTTATCTTGGTTCAAGATAACTAGTGACTTTCAGGCAATAATTCCTGGACGTCACGCACAGAGATACGGACCTTGGAGGCCTTACAACCCTCTAGTGAACTACACAAAGGGCCCAACTCTGTTCAGTTTTTGTCAAAATTGTCCTAGGTAACAAATTTCATAAATGGCAGCCCTAGTTCTACAGCCTGTCAAAGTTGCAAAAAAGTCAATTTTCAACTGTCAATATTTCCGAAACAGTTGAAGATATTTATAGGACATGATACATGAAATAGGTTCAGAATTTAACGTAGAATTTGAAAATCAAATAAAAAATTGGTGGTTTCATTTAAAAAAAATAAAGTTAGCTGTTATAACTTGTTTTTGAGTCACCCTGTATACATGGTATTATCATCAAAAGAACGGCCACTAAAATCAAAAATTGACGTGTCCGAGATTTTGTGAAAAGTATCCACCCTGTATATTTTATAGATTTTATTCCAACCTTAACGTGCTCACTGTATGTAGTTGTCTACATCCACTTTATAATCTAGGAAAATTATCGTAACACACGGAAAAGTTGTACCAACTTCAACCTAAGGAAATCCGTGCGTTAATTTCAATATTAATTATGAATCACGGACAGATTGAACTAGTCTGTGATTATCAATGTCATTGGTGATTACACGTAGGAAAATTAACTTCATTGTAAACGCATATACCTTCTCAGTTTCGTACGTTAATTATAATTTTCCGTACGTTAAGTTAAGTGGATGTAAATGACCCTTTAACACTCTGACACTAATTACTTCACTAATTAACTCAATCAAGTTAGGTCTTTCTTACAACTCTTACAATATTATTTACTATCTAAATCGTATACCAGCCAATCTCAAAAGCTAAAAACTACTAACTAATACCGGACTTTATACAGGGTGTCCACTTAGTGCGATATCGGATGATATCTTCTTACAGGGTGATGCAAGAAAAAAAAAATCAAATTACAAAGTTGTTTGATACTCTGCATAAGTTAAAAATATTCTTGAATATACAGGGTGCTCCGTTTATGAGGTATGCGACAGAACTTTGTTTTTCTAGATGGAACACTTTGTATGTGATTGCATATTTGGATTCTACGTAAAATTCTTAGCAGATTTCATGTAATATACCCTATACCTAAGTGCAACTGTTTTGGAAATATTGACAGTTGATAATTGACTTTTTGCAACTTTAACAGGCTGTTTAACCTAAACGGTTAATTTTGAACGAAAACCGATTTACATTCCTGTCTTAGATTTTTATAAACCATCATTTGAGACAAATTTAGAATTTAATCCATGATTAAACATTCTAGTTAAATTTAATCTCCGGTTAAATTCAAAGTTGGTGTCAAATGATAGTTTATGAAAATCTAAGATAGGAATGTGAAGTCGGGTTTTCTCTAAAATTAACCGTTCAGGTTTAACAGCCTGTCAAAGTTGCAAAAAGTCAATTTTCAACTGTCAATATTTCCAAAACAGTTGACCTTAGGTATAGAATATATTACATGAAATCTGCTCAGAATTTTACGTAGAATTCGAATATGCAATCACACAGGGTGTTCCAATACAAATAACAAAGTTCTGTCGCATACCCCATGAACGGAGCACCCTGTATATTCAAAAATATTTTTAACTAATGCGTATTAGGATATCAAACAACTTTGTGATTCATTTTTTTTTCTTGCATTACCCTATAAGAAGATATCGTCCGATATCGCACTAAGTGGGACACCCTGTATATCCGTAATTCATTCCTGTTAAATCAAAAATAAAATAGTCTTTCTCCCGAATAACGCTGTACGTTCTAGAATTCAGCTATGCGATTCTGTGTTCCCTGGCGGAGACGCCACATATCTGTCACAATATATGTTTCTTTTTTTATTAAAGTTGTGATAATTTAGCATTTTTTTTTAAATCCAAGCCATTCAACTGTTTATTGTCTGACCCAAGATATAAGAATAGTTGGGTAATAATTGGGAACTATGAAAAAAATATTTTATCAGAATATTTTCCTCTCGACAAGATGGAAGATGCGCTGTGTGAATAGTTGTACGTCTTTATTTTAGCCCTGCAAACTGCCAACCAGGACCAAAATGTACGAAAGATTTGAGATAATCATTTAATAAGTATAAATCAAAGGCTCTGTTATTTTGACCCCCTGAAAATATAATGTTCCAAGCATAGTTATCTTACTCAATTATTATAGGTATGACAAATTTTAGGGAATGGTTTGTCATGGAGTACCAGAATATGTTGTGGTGAATGGAAGAGTTATACTCGATGAAGGCCAATTGAGAGCCGTCGAAGGCTTTGGCAGGTTCATTGACACACCAGTCTTCCCGCCATATGTTTATGATCCTTCCAAGTTAGAAGAATTAAAGCCCCAGAATAATGGAAATGTAGAGGAGGAAATACAGAATATAAGAGAAATAGAAAAGGTTGGTAAGAAAATAAAAGTTGTATCCCTTTATTTTCAAATGTTATTCCAGCTTCATTTAGAAGAAAAAACTTGCTTAACCCCCACATTACCCGAATCTACAGCGAGCACGCCTTCTGGTAGGGGAGCTAGACCAGAAGGCCAAAGAAATATACAAGATTCAACATTCTCGATAAGTGGTAAGAAGTTTTCATTGTATGTATCGAAACAACAGTTTTTTAGGTTAAAAACGGGATAATTAAAACAAACGCTTCGGATATCAGCCACCATTTCACCAGTAGGTAAATAATTAATCAATTTTTATTAATCCATTTTGCAAAGTTTCTCTTATGAAATGGTGCCTGATGTCAATGTGTTTGGATATGTCATAGAATACTGGATTGCTACATAATTTTTGAGCACCTTGATTATCATTCATAAGTGTTATGCAATCCAATTTTCCAGTTAGCTCACTCATCAGATTTTGCAAGTAAATGGCTTTTTTTGATGCCTCACTCAAAGCCATAACTCTGCCTCAGTGCTGGACAGTGCAACTGTCCTTTATTCGCTGCTTCTCCAGGAAACAGCAGCACTAGAAAGTTTGAACACAAAACACCAGATTTTCTGTCATTCTTGTTAGAACCCCAATCAGCGTCTACATATCCACGTAAACCTTCATGGTCCTTTTTAAAAAAAGACATTGAGTCTTTGTCCCCTTCAAATATCTGAGGACCTTTTTCGCACACTTCCAGTGATATTCAGTGTGATTATTATTGAACTGACTCAAAAAACTAACACTGTGTGCAATGTCAGGGCGCGTCAATATAGCTAAAAACATCAAGCTTCCTATCAATTTTTGATATAATGGATTTTAATATTTTTCGTTTGAATTACTTTCAGAAAAATCAAAATTATCGATTGGCGCGCTGACACTGTTACAATTCGTCATATTAAATTTATCAAGTAATTTATCAATATAAGCACTTTGATCCAAAAAAAGAACATCTTTGTTTCTGTGAATTTTCATACCAAGACATAGCTTTAAACAAGGCCTTAAATTACGTACTCAAATCTAGATTTTATTTGGTCTTTTAAAAAATCTGTCTCATTTTTTTTTTGAAAAAACTATAAAATCATCAACGTACAATGCCACAATTGTTGTTGAATTATTTTTCTTCAGTATACCTTTATAATCAGCTTTTTTAAAATCCAGTCCAATCAATACTTCATCAACCCTCTGATACCAAGCACGTGAAGACTGCTTCAGCCCATAGATGGCCTTTTTTAATTTACAAACTTTATCTTCATTGCCTTCAAGAACCTTCCAGAAACCTTGAGGTTGTTGCATGAATACAGTTTCCTGCAAATTACCATTAAGAAAAGGAGTCTCCACGTCTAAGTGTGTTATATCGAGGTTAAGTTGAACAGCAAGAGCAAACAGTAAACGTAAACTTGAGTACCTTATCACTGGTGCAAACGTTTCCTGATAGTCAATGCCAGCCCTTTGCGTAAATCCTTTTGCCACTAAACGCGCACGATAACACACTTTATTGTCCTGATTTAACTTCTTTTTGAAGACCCATTTACCCTCGACCACAGTACCACTGCTGGGACGATCAATCAAATCCCATGCATCATTTTCTCTAAAGGACTACATTTCCTCTTCCATAGCTTGCCTCCAAGAGTCAGCTTCTGATCCTGAAAGAGCATCTGATGCATTTACAGACACATCATCCATATTTATGTCATTTTCTCGAACTTGAAAGGTCACATATTCACATGGATTTCCTTTTAGTCTCGTCAAGGATTTCAAAAATTTGTTTATATTCTAGCAGAAATTCAGGGTTATTTAGATCAACAGGATCCTCTGAATTATTTGAAGCTTCACCAAACAAATCAGCCCCATATGAATCTTCCAAAAATTGCTCATATTCATCCTGGTCCCCCACTGGAACTGTTACCTCGTCAGCAGACAGACTATGTTCAAAAATAATGTCTTTCGAATCGTATAGCCGGTATCCCTTGACATTTATTCCATAGCCAACCAAGGTAATTTTTTCTGCCTTTTTGTCGAATTTTTGTCTTTTTTCTTTAGTTACATGGACCCTAACGTCGCTCCCAAAGACTCTTATGTGACTCACATCAGGTTTTTGTCCATACCATGCCCCATATGGAGTTTTTTTAACAAGTTCTGTTGCTACTGAGCGATTCCTGAGATAAGTAGCTGTTACTATTGCCTCTGCCCAAAAATATTTCGGTAACTTGGCATCAAAAAGCAAACACCTCGCCCTCTGAACCAGGGTTCGGTTCATTCGCTCCCAGATCCCATTTTGTTGTGGGGCGTGTGGATTTGTCTTTTGATGAATTATGCCACGTTCATTAAGAAATTATCAAACAATGTATTACAAAATTCCCCACCATTATCTGATCTGAAAGTTTTATTTGTTAATCCGGTTTGGTTTTCAACCATACATTTAAACGCTTTAAATTTGTCCAAGGCCTGACTTTGGTTTTTGAGGAATAAACAGAAATCATTTTACTCAAATCATCTTCTAGAACTAAGAAATAACGGGAATCACCAATGGAGGTTACTTCCATGGGTCCACATAAGTCACCATGTATTAGTTCTAGCAGTTTAGTAGCCCTATTTCCATGATTTTTAAAAGGTAATCTAGCTTGCTCACCTTCGCAGCATACTTGGCAAAACTCGTTTACATTCAACTGTGCTTAATAATCCAATACCCTGAACAGCTCCGTTCTTCATTGTATTAAGGTCACGATAATTGATATGTCCAAAACGTCTATGCCATATTTCCCGAGAAGGCTTGGAATCAACCATCAACAGTTTTGGCTCTGTTTTTTTGATTTAAAGGCTGTTTGTCGATTCGCTTTGGTCCGTCTTCAAGGCCAACCAAATTAGAACCAACCGTTTTCGATTGCAAACCGGTGACGTAAGAGGCATCGTTTGGTCCGTCTAAATTCGAACCAGCTTCGCGAGTTGGTTCCATTTTTGGTTTCAATTTCGGTTTGCTTTTATAACCTTAAAACATGGCGTCTTTCTTGACAGACCAAATTCAAAAGCTGTCAACCAACTTCTGTCATATCCTAACCAACCAGGCCGAACCTTGTTGCGATTCGAAAACGGCCTTAGTTTGTACACATCGTCACCCAATAAACAATTTTCGTTACTTATGGTAACGTCTAATTATATAAAGGTTATATAAGAGGAATGAATAGTGCTTTTAGTATGTAAGGGTTTTATAATATCCCCCAACCTCTAGGTATATAACTAGGTGACATAGATATTTCAATTACCAAGTTATAAAACCTAGAGTAACTATTACTGATAGGTATATAATAAAGTTTTATACATTTTGCGGTTACCTTTTTATATAACTTTACATTCCCTGGTCATAAAATTGTGATAATTTTTGCCTTTATAAAAATAGAAGTAATCGACGAGTCTTTGATACATTTTTGTTGCTTCTGGATATGTAAGGATCCTTTATATAATTCACAGGGGGTATAATAATAAACAAAGTGGGAGAGTGAAATAAATACCAGCGGCCAGCAGCATTACCAAACATCACATTAAGCCAAACAGAAACAATAAACCTGTGCAGTCAACTGAAAAAAGTGAGGTTATTTTTGTCATTTTATGCTGATGCCGGTGCCCCACTGCGGGTATTTTGCGTAATCGTTCAACCCTTATTTACGAATTATAATTGGTCAGAACTCAGAAATATGGATAAAGCTGTCACGTATCACTTTTAGATCAATTATGTCGGGTGACGCGATTGGGCGAAATACGTCATGGGAAACTGGGAAACTTACATGCGCGACGTGTAATGATGGTTGCTAACTTATAAGTTATAGTACCTGGAGTAATTTTTGTTACCATTATAAACTTTAAAGTTTTATAAGAACCTTTTATAAAATCAAAAGAAGCTATATAGGGTACCATAATTTATGTAAAGTTCCTTTGGGTAATATAGAGGTAATTAATTTTTCAAATTAAACTAGTCTTCATTCTGCCATATTTGATTTGCAAAAAAATGGACGCTGTTTCACAGGTCAACGTGAAATTCAAAAATTTAGGGCAATTAGCTAACAATTTGTAATAAATATGTATAAGAACCTCATATAATTAAATAAGCAACTTTTTTCTCAAGAACTTGTCACTTAAATATTAATATTTTTTCAAAATTTAATTTTTATATTTATGGCAATATAATCAAATAGGGTTCTTTCAAAAGGCGCTCGCATTTTTTGAAGGTATAACATGTATATTTATCAGTAAAAATCGCTTGGCAATGAAAATTCGGACCAGGGTCAATGGTTTAACAACACTATTTTTATGTGAATGTGAAACAAGTACTCATCTTGCAGACGCCATTGGTGCAACATCTTGTCCTTGTGCATTAATTTATCCCTTCATGAGACGGAGGCGCTGGAGGCATCATCATCAAACAAACATAGACATACCAAAAATAATTAAATAGACAAAGACAAAAAGAAACTTGTTACTCCAGGTGTCAACATCATTTCATTTATATTTTTATAAAGGGTTTATAGGGTTTCTGGAAATATTTAAATAAATACTTCTATAAATCTTACAGTTATATTACGTTACTAACACAGAGGTGTCGGTAACCTTTATAAACTCCGCCATTTAAGTGTTTTAAGGCTTTTATAAGGGTGATGTAAATGTTTCCCACATATTATTATTGAACTATAGGTTATTTAATGTGGGTGTTGTAAAATATACGATTACCAATATATAACTAAAAATGTTTATTGGGCAACTAAATCCGCCTTGGCGACAATCACACCTCTACTATTGTGAATATCACATCCATGCTGTCTGAAAATAGCATTATTTACTTTTTCAATTAATTGACTGACAGACGAAAGGTTAGTCGTCAGTTCAGACACACAAAATACTTTTTCAATTACCACATCATGATTTTGTCCTATTATCAACTATTGTAGTAATGTCTATTTTTCCAATACATTCTACAAGAATTTTCTGATTATTGGCTACTATGGCTACTACTGTGCTCAATGGCCATAACCCGTCCGGCAATCCCGCCAAAAGTAAGGATCCCACCCATTCGTCACTGATCTGGGCCCGTATTCTCGTAACCGGGAACAGTGTTCTCTCAAGAGAACGATTGCTCTGTCTTTGTCAGTATTATGG